TATTCCAAAGATACTACAAGCTAGTCAGTGTATTCAGCAGGTGTAATGTATTCTAAGTTGCTTCAGAAGTATTGCAAGTATTATGTACGACAATAAAACAGAAATTTACTTTTGGTACTTAAGTACTTTTAAAAGCAAGTACTTCTGTACTTTTACTTAAGTAAAAATCTGTCTTTACAACTTTTACTTGTAATGGAGTAATATTTGACCAGCAGTATCTGTACTTTCACTCAAGTAATGGAATTGAGTACTTTGTCCGCCTCGAATGGGTGAATCTTCCCATCCCTATCTACAGACCTAAATTCCTATAGCAGCAACAAAAGAGTCACAACACACCTATCCAAAATGGAACATAAGTGAGGAAATCAAACAGCAAATCCTGCAGTGATGAATCTTCATGCATATAACATACAAAAGCAAACTTTTCGTTTGCGTTTGCATATTCAGGCAGGATACAGTTATCAAATAACTACCCTTACATGTTCTTTTGAGCTTGTGAATTGTCACACAAAGACTGAATTTACATTCATTTAGAGTAAAAGCTATTCAACATGGTATTTACTACTTCTACTTTTATAATTGCTTATTTGGTATATACTATTGCTAACCATATCTTCATGTCAAACTTTTACATAATCTCCAGAACACTTTCTATTATATTAAAGGTCATTTAAAAAATATATCAGCAAACATAAAACTGGCTTAATATTGCCCTGAGTGGCCAAAAGAATATGGAATATCTACAAGGCCATAAACCTCAAGCACATCTGCACAACTGTACAGATTTATAAACAGTATGGTTACAAAGTATCATGGTTAATTAATATTAATAAGCTTAGTCTTTTACATTTAGTTTTGTCATTATGTGGAACACTTTACATGAGCATGTACGTTTCGGCGCCACTGATGCTTAGACCTACCATTTTGTACGTTGTTTTGATGGTCGTCTTTTCTCAAGCCATCGCCGCTTATATCTGAATCACTGTCATTGAAGTCACTATCTCCAATTCCGCTGTCCTTATGAGGCTCTCGTGCTGATATAGTTGCGTACGAGGTGCCTTTCCAAATTTTAATCTGTCTCAGTGCATCTTTACCATAACTAGGTACAGTGGAAAACCCCTGTTAAAATAAAGAACAATATTTGAGAAAAACCATTTAACGATATCAAATAGCCTACAGAATTCACATTTTAAGACATTGGGCTTACCTCTGACTTGACACCGCGGCTTTTGTCCCCTGGTTCACACGGACTATCTTCAGAGACACACGTACCATCTTCAGACCTGCAGGATATGTCACTGCCTCTCTGGATCAAGCCAGAAAAATGTGTCTTGTTTGAGTAAGGGCGAATATCAACAACGATGTCACTGTGAATTGAAATCAGTGGGTCGCTATGGTTTCCCTTCGCCTGAACTCCACCCTCCTTTCCAGAATGGCGGCCTCGATTATCCACCTTTCGTTTATTACAAGTAGTCGCTATTATAATAATGGCTAAAAGTAGTAGTGTGCAGCTCCCCGCCAGTACGACAATTATAATGATTGAATGATCCCCTTCCTGAGTCTCTTCATCTATTTTGTTCCTGAATACATTGCGGTCACTGGGGAGAGATCCTGCTATTAGGAAATTGATAGTGACTGCTGTGGTTAGGGAAGGTGTCCCGTTGTCACTGACAGTTACTGTTATTCTCAAGTTCTCGTAAACTTCGTAGCTGAGTTCATGATTCAGAAAAATTTCTCCAGTGGCTCTGTTAATTGAGAACACAGAAGCGACTCCTTCGGAGATTCTGAACGACAATTCTGCATTGACACCTTCGTCAGCATCCCTAGCATGTACCTGGGTTATAACGTAACCCGAAGGCGCGTCTTTGGGCAGTAGAACCTCGGCAGAATTATTAATTAGCGCAGGCTGTGTGATAGAGGGAGCATTGTCGTTCTGATCAACTATTTTTAGATTAATAATTGCACTGCCTTGGAGTTGGGGCGAGCCTACGTCACTTGCTTGAATATGTAGCTTTAGCTGTTTGAGGACCTCAAAGTTGAAACTTCTGAGCGCATAGAGCGAGCCTGTAGCTGGATCTAGAGAGACAAAAGTTGACACTGGAGAGCCTATGATGTAGGTGTCCAAGAGCTTATAGCTAATTTTGCTGTTTTGCCCTTTATCAAGGTCTCTGGCCACCACAGTTGTGATATATGCGCCTGGTGCATTGTTCTCCATCAAGGAGACTTCAAAGACTGGTTTACTGAACACAGGGGCGTTGTCATTCTCGTCACTCAACCTTATAGTATACTGCTTAATTGTTCTGAACGGAGGTGATCCCAGGTCTTCGGCTACAACCGTTAAGTTATACTCTGCAATTTTTTCTCTATCAAGTGGAGATGTCGTTACAATCATAAAGCTGTCCTCGTAGGCTTGCTGGAGTTTGAAGTGATTGTGCCCATAGAGGGTACAATGAATATCTCCGTTTGCGCCGGAGTCCTTGTCCGCGATGGTGACAAGAGCCACAAAGCTTTCTTTAGCAGCAGCCTCTGTGATGTACGCTATTCCCGCGGTGACTGAAGTCATGGGGGTAATGGTGATTTCTGGTGCGTTGTCATTCACATCCTGCACATGAACAACAACTTTACAGATGGATGGGCTCGGATTAGGACCCAAGTCGGATGCCAGTATGTCGAACTCATAGGTTTTTTTGCTCTCAAAATCAATCGGGCTCTCGAGCATCAACCGCCCGGATTTTCTGTCAACACTGAAACGATGCCGGATCTCTGAGGGCACCTGATTCCCGAACCCATACACAACTTCCCCATTCAAACCCTCGTCTGGATCAACCGCGTTAAAGTCTACAAGCAATAATCCCACCGGCGCGTCCTCCAGTATATCTACTGAAAAACTGTTCCGGTCGAACACAGGGCTATTGTCGTTAAAGTCTTTTACTTTGACCTTGATTTTTGTGCTGCTGGACCTTGATGGATTTCCTCCGTCTGTTGCGACGAGCTCCAAAACATAGGAGGCATGTGTCTCCCTGTCTAATTCTTTCATTAGCACCAACTCTGCATATTTAATTCCATCAGCTCTGCTCAACACATCAATGGTAAAGTGACTGTTGACTGATATTTGGTAGCTCTGAATGTAGTTCGAACCCACGTCCTCGTCCATAGCAACATCTATAGGAATTCTAGTGCCGAGTACTGCGTTTTCTGAAATTTCCAAAGTGGATTCCTTTCTGGGGAACTCGGGAGCGTGGTCGTTGATGTCCTTTACTTCCACTTCAATATGTATTAATTTAAATTGCTCATTCGAGATACTCACAACGTCGAATGAAATGAGACACTGCATTGTATGCTTACATATTTTTTCTCTGTCTATTCGTTCTCCAATTGTTAGCTGTCCGTCTTTTTCTCGGAGTCTAATAAAAGATGCATTGAACTGCTTCATCATTCTGAAATTGGTCTTAGAGCCATCTGAGATATTTAAGGACATGTCCTTTGCCAGGTTTCCAATGACAGTGGATAGAGCGTCCTCTTCATATATCTGATATTTCATGGTCATTCCCGCTGCTAAGGTGGTCAGAAAAGACAGTGACACAAAGGCAACAACCACTGTCCACCAGTGCCACAAAACTCGACTGCTAGAAGTCCCTCTCATAATGTCAAGATTTACAGCTGTAGGCTATGTAACTTCAATTGAGGAAAATATTTTACAGCGAATAGCTGTCCAGTAAAATGTATTTTGTTTCTCTGACATGTATGCCAAGCTCCACGCTCAGTTCGATAAAACTGCAATGCCTGGGTGGTTTATAGACATCTTCATGCAAATGAGATCAAGTGTGACCAATCCCTGCTTTGAAAAAAGGAGGTCTTTTAAAAGACGTCTAAGCTCATTAGGAAATGCCATAAAGAAGACACTTTGATGCCAGTGTGCAGTAGCCTACTTTAATTTTATAAAGAGAGAAAAGGGAGAGGGCGAGAGATTTTAAGACATGATTCCTGAGCTAAATTATTAGTTATTGCAAAGTAGGCTAGTTGTATGTCACTGAATGAAAAATAACCTCAACTTTGTGGTGATCATTTTTGTCTTATTTCTCCCTCACACATACACACATCAAAGTCAAATGTTAAATTCATAAAACGTGTCACGTGCGAAATCTGGTTTAACGTGAATGTCAGTGCTGTTTGTGGCTTTTTTTTCCTCCGCAATCTCGCCTGCTGTGGCAGGTGTAGAAAGTCCTTTTCAAATAGGATTTATTTGAAGCGTCAGGATGTTTAAAGGGATTTCTATAGCCGGATTATATCAAAGGCGTATGAACCCCTCGTTAGCACAAGTATACAATAGCTTAGTGGGGTATCCCAATGGCGACGTCAGCGTCTGTATTATTTCGCAACGACAGCCGGAGGGAGATGAAGTTCCTGGAGTTCTCAGGTCTGCGCTTAAGCTAAACATAATAAGGCAGCGCCATGTGCACTCTTTTGACTAAATGAAGCTGGCCAATGAATTGCCCCCGACTTAAAGCCCCTATTAAAACGCATTTAGAGAGCAACTGAGATCTTCACGGCTATTTAAGAGATTTTCTCACTCGTTGGTTTCCCCTTCATTGGTCAACACTTGCCATTTAACTGAGCCACAAAGAATCAGTTGGTATCCATCTGTCACCATGAGCGCTCGAGATGCAAGATGCGAAATGATTGTGGCGATATTTTCCCTCTTGTCTGTTTTAAAGATAATATTGAATCTAAGATTGATCATGTTTGGACTGATAATATTTACGGGGTGCGAATTAGGTCTGCCTCCAGAACATAACTGAAATAAAAGTGATTGGGGAAGACCGAGTGCATTTGGAACACTTTTAGCGTTTTACATTACCGCACAAAACCTTTTAAACATGTTTTATTTTTCATGTGATATTTCTTGTAATCGTCTACAAAAACATTTATTTTCAGTAATACCTATAGTTTATATTTTCATAGAGTATATTTGTTACAGCTGTAGTTAGTTGAAACTGTAGGCTACCATAGTACAGTTGAAACCAACTAAACTACACTTTTAAAAAGCCTTAACATATTAGCATTAATAGCTCTCCGTTTTGTTCGTTTTTCACTATATACACCGATAATTTGCTATGCAGTGGCAGAAAGTATAAGCGTTAGTTCATGAATATACACGGATAACTTGCTATGCAGTAGCAGAAAGTATAAGCGTTAAATAACCGACAGTTCATCGGTAAATCACTTAACATTAAATAAATTGAAATTAATTAACTGTTAATTTATAAAACTTTCAATAACAATTGTGTAGATTTCAGTAAAACAACATTACATTCACTCAGTACATGACATACTCATTCACATACTCTGTAATCAACGTAATTTAGTAATTTAGTTAATTGTAGTGGCAGATGTTGTTGTGGCCTTCATGCATTTCACATGTGGGACCTGACAGTATCTGGCACAATATTCTGCTGCAGGACAGCTGATACGATGTGTTTTATTCGTACCCCGCTCAGAACATGCGCATTTCCCTTGCACGATTAGGGATGTTATGTCAACTAAAGCATTGATTAAAGATCACAAATATTAACGTCCAGTTTTACAGTTATAAAAAGACAAGAAGCTATTCACTGTTCACTGGAGATGGTGTTTGTGTGTGTGTGTGTGTGTGTGTGTGTGTGTGTGTATATATTTTATTATTGTTTTTTTCTCTCTCTATCTGTACGTCCTTGGAATTCCCCCCAATAACTAACTAACATGAACTGACAATGGACTAATGTGTATTTATAAATTATATTAAAATTAACACCCCTGAGTCAAATAGATATTCCATAATAACATTATTATTATTATTAGTATTAAAGAAGAAAAAGAAGAATAAACAAACAAATCTATCACTCAGTGATAGTTTTCAGGAATAAAACTATGCAATTTATACGCTGAATTGTTCTTAAAAACTCTTGGGGCTGCTTGTGAGACCTTCTGACACTCAGTTACCTCTGAACTACTTAAGTATTAATAAATATTCTCTCTCGTGATTCACACGTCATTCTTGGTGTCTGCTCGCGAGTTTCACAATAGCGGGATTCGACCTGAAAGAATCACGTATTCACAGTCTATTTGCATTTTTAAAGACTCGAGAAAGGCATAGTGACCGTGCCATTGTGAGGGCATTTGTTCTCATGCGCTCATGAGTGTTGTTGTCTGAAGCTTTTTTTTTTTTTGAGAGAGAGAGAGAAAGACAGAGAGTGAGAGGGGGAAGCATAAGTCTTTTGGTATGATAATTAGGAGATCTGGACTTTTTGTAAAGTATAAAAGCATTAGAAAATAATTATGAAGGTGCATGGGGGTGATGACTAATTGCTTGAATTTATACACACACAGACACACACACTGGTTTCCATGTTTTATGGGGACATTCCATATAGGCGTAATGGTTTTTATACTGTACAAACTGTATTTTCTATCCCCTTTACATAACCCTACCAATCACACAAAACTTTCTGCATTTTTAAAAAGTTTTAAGAAGTTTAAAAAACTTCATTCTGTATGATTAATAAGCTTAAAAAATATCCCCAAAAGGCATTACTATCCTTCCGTTCCATGTTTTATGGGGACATTTTGTAGACATAATAGATCTTATACTGTACAAACTGTATTTTCTATCCCCTTATAAAACCTACCCCTCACGCAAAACTTTCTGCTATCTTAGATTTTCAAAAAATATATAATTCTCTATGATTTATAAGCTTGTTTCCTCACAGGGACCAAAAAATGCAAAAAGTGCAAACGTGCTATTCATGATGTTTATGTATTTATACTTGAAAACAAGCAACACATTTGTAACCACAGTTTCATGCAGTGCTCTAAATAAACTTGTTTTAAAATTTTTTATTTTTTTTTAGTTTGGTTACTTATTAGCTATGATACTGATTCTGGTATTGTACATAAGCCAAAACTACTGCATCAAGCCAACACTAAATACCTGTCTGTAATATGAACATGTTAATGACTCCTAATACTGGCACATGCACTCTATGCATAGTCTATGCATACAAATATTCTCTGCATTTAAAAAAATTTCAGACATAAAAGTTTCACCACCCTTATAACATAAAGGTTTAAGTTAACAGAGTGAGAGGGAGTGGTTGTACCCACTTCAAATTTAGATTTTGTGTTAAGGTCAGAGAAACACATTCTCAGGAAAAGAGAGCATAATGGGAACAAAAAGAGTGGCTGTAAAGAGAGAGAAAATGAATGCATAGGCACACACACAAACAGCTTTAAATAATAACTAGAAATCCATTAGAAGGCTGGCATAGTTTGAAGGCACAGATTGCTGGGTAGACTGAGACAAACCCCACATTCTGCCCATGAACAAAGACAGTAATGAGCTGGAAGGAAAAGAGGTGTGTCTGGTCTCTTTTCAAAACTCGCCTCACACACTCACACAATAGTCTGCACACACACACACACACACACACACACAAAAGAGGAGGAGACCCGCCCTCCTGAGCCCTATTTATGACTCTGTTTGGATGTGTTAGAATTTCATTCAAGTTGTTGTTAACTGTTGTTCCAGCTGGGCAACATTTTATTTGTCTGACCCTCACCCTGGCCATATGTCGCTATAAAGTCCCCTATTCCACAGTCACTTTCCCTTTAGGCTGTCCTAGGATCTCACAACTGCTCCACTGTGACACATTACAATTCATGAACAGCTCTGTGGATGATCTCTCATTGAATAAAATGGTTTAGACAAAAATACACACAATAAATATCAAAAACTTTTAACATTATATCCCTATATGCCAGACCTGTTTTATCTTAAAGTTAAAAAGATATTTTGAAAATATTTCACAACAATAAATTGCTAAAATGACGCGTTAGGCAATAGGGTTTTCATTAAGATAACAGACAAAACGGTGTCAGATTTTATCAAACCGTTTGAATTTACCCTTTGGATGGAATCTATTTTATTCCAAGTATAGACATATTTAGACAACCACCTATTTATTCCAAGTATGGACACATTCCAAGCCATAAGTTAACTGTAGGAGCCTCAATTTCCAGAACAGCAGTAGCAAATTCTTGGCTGTATTTAAACTGCATGCAAGCAATTTGTGATTTCTCTCTAGTGTGTGCATGAGATAGTCACAGAAAAATGAATGTAGGGTCTGGTTTAATTTGCGGAATATTTCTGAAAGTATATTCAACATTTCATACAAATAAATCTGTATCGTGGAGTCAAAAAAAAAAATGGGACAGAGATATATATATATATATATATATATATATATAGTCACGATGTGCCTACTGTGTAGGTACTAGGAGACGAAGGAACGCGGAGACGCAGGGGATCCAGAAGCATAATACACTTTATTTTCTTCAACACAAGGGAACACACACGTATCATATGGGCGCTCTGGAGGCCTCTCAGGACAGGCTTACAGGGACGGATGGCCCCCCTCTCTGGGCTAGACTCGGGGACTGGAGCCCTCTCTGGGCTAGACTCGGGGACTGGAGCCCTCTCTGGGCTAGACTCGGGGACTGGAGCCCTCTCTG